CCTCTCCATTTCCTTCGCACATGCCAATACGAGACTCAATAAACATTCGAGTAAATGATCCTACTTCAAATCCACAACCAAACAATGAACAGGAAGAAAGGCTAAATCAAGCATTCTAAGGCTATAAAATTTGAACTATGTACAATTATACAACATACACTAAGAAAATAGTAATGACTGATTCGGTCTCATAGGAATGAACTCCTAGGCTAAGGCATCACAAATCAGGAAACATTACCACACAATTCCTACAAGATTCCTAAGCCTAGCACTATCTAGCATGCAATTCTATCAGCTCATAAAATATCAGCTCTACACTACTCATAATATAAATTGGGGTATTTTAGGAAAGTACCGCTCGAGCGCTAGTTGATTGTACACACTGCTTCTCTGGGTTTTTATCCTGTAAAATTCTTCATTTCTTTGTTAAGTTCTTAAAAATCATTCAGGTCCTTAGTTTGAGTTTGGAATCACCCTAACGTTCACCCAACTCCCTCATACCAAGGCTTTGATAACAAACTTTAACACCTCAAATTTTAAACCAAATTTTGGATTTTTTATTTACCAGAATAAAGTTTCACAAACCCAGTTATCATCCATATAATTATCTAAAACAACCATTATTACAAATATCAGAGTTCTCAAATTGTCCCAGTAACAAATCTCCGAACGAGTGTCTACAATCAAACGTTCTCCTTCTCGCGGTCCTCAAAAGTCCAAATAACAGATGCTCAGACCAAAACTTCAGCAATATACCACTTCCCTTGGCAACCCCACAATTCAATCTGAGCACAATGACTGAAACCACCGGATCCTGACGATGTTGGATAATTAACCTGTTGAACCCTGACCACAGACCTTCGAACCAATTCCCCTGATCCGCTCTCGACCAAAACCGGAAATAAGTATCGAACACTTGGAACTCACTATAAAGGATACAACCCATACTAACCCACTAACAATTCATGGCATGCAAATGGCATATAACATTTCTTGAAGATATAACCCAGCATAAGCAAAGAGATCAACCAAATATATGCTTACCCAAACTGTTGCAAGATTCCAAACAACATAAATACCGATATAAACCGAAAAGAAAGCTAAAGATACATACCCTCAGTGTCGCCCACTAGAGCCCTAACCTCCCATGTCTAATATTGTAATGTCCGACTCCTGTCCACTGAGCCTCCTACTCTACCCTCTCGTCCATTGGTGATCCTTAAAGTAGTTGGAGCAGGCGCACTCACTGCTCCTCCTCTCAACATCGTACAATTGGCCTTCTTGTGGCCCACCTCATCGCAGATAATACATAACGGGCTTTTCCCCTAAGGACAGTCCCTGCTTACACGAATAAGCCTACCACACTTGTAGCAGCCCAAACCCTTGAAACGACAAACTTCATCGTGCAGTTTCTCGTACGTGTTGTACTGATTCCGGCCTTGTTGGCCTCTCAAGTGCTGATCAGAAGTCTTGGGTCTCTTTCCGGGACCCTCCAATATATGCACTTAATCTGATCCCCTCTTCCTGAGGTGCTCCAAATCGATCTCCCGCTCTCGGGCTCTAGAAACCATATCATTCAAGGTCATGCACCCTAAAATACTGACAAACTCCCTGATGTCATCCCTCAACATATCATGATACCTCACCTTGTTCATTTCCTCATCTGTGGCATATTATGGTACCAATAAAGCCCTCTCCCGAAACATGGAAGTAATCTCTGCCACAGTCTCAGTAGCCTAGCGTAGATCCAAGAACTCTCGCACCAACTGTTGCACCTCAATCGTCAGTGCAAACTCCGCTCAGAACCTGGTCGAGAAGTCATCCCATGACATAGCATCAACAACATCATCACCCAACTCACTACCAACCTCTTCCCACCAATCTTGTGCCCTATCCTTCAATAGGCAGGAAGCATATCTAACCTTCTCCTCCTTAGAGCAGAAACTCGTCCTAAACACGTTAGCTATATCCACTAACCACCTCCTACTGATAATGGGGTTCCTCTCCCTATGGAATGCAGGAGCTCCACAAGCACGGAACTCCTAGAAAGAAAGAGTGTGAGCTCCAATGATAGCCATAACCTCCGCATGGAACGCACCCAAGTGCTCATCCAAAATCTCTGAAATACTGCAAGAAACCTCCGATGAGATGAACACCCGCAATTTCTCGCTAATCGGCTCATTACCTGTGCATGAGCCGGAACCCAAACTAGAACGTGAACCTGAACCACCTCCCTGAGTGCTAATCTCCAAAGTGAAATACTAAAAACCAACAATCAAAACATGCCCAAGAATTCTTCCCCCTATAAGCTTCTTAAATTCTCCAAGACTTTCACTGATTCGAGTATGGATCCCGTGCTTTAAGCAATACGGGCCCAATACTACCTTCCACACCTATCTATACTTTCCTTAGCAATCCTCCTAAATTCTCTTAGTCACTTCCTCAAACTAATGCACCAAAACCACACTACTAACCCATTAAATCATATCCTAGGTTCTCCTAGGTTCCCGACCTCACCCCATCATCATCTACTGAAGGACTCCCATCAATGTCGACTAGGCCCCTCATGAATATTGTCATATGCAACAGATATCAGATAACCCTTCAAGTAAGAGACTTCACCCTTGAATGGTTGGACTTAAAAAAGAGTTGCGCAATAGAGTCGGTTCCATCACTCTAAGATTATTTAACCTGTGCCACATGTGACTAAGCATATTCACTTAGCAGTCAATTCACTCACTAAGAGTCCTAAAAAGTACAAAGCAAGCAACATTCAGACAACGGAAAAATCTAACCAACATACTCTAATCAAGACACTTTATCCTCTTATCAGTAATCTATACTAGCATGCAATTCTAAAGCTCATACAATCAGGCATAAAAAGGCATCTCTCCTATCATATATTACTGAGCAGATCCTTATCCCTAATCTAGCATGAAATTCTCTTAATCATAACATATATCATAATAAACATGTATTGGTATTCTGGGAACCACTTACTTGAGCTCGACCAATTGCACGCATCATACCCCTTTCTTGATTAGAAATTCCTTTCTAATTAAAATTTTATTTTATAAAAAATTTCACAAAACCCTCAGTTTGAGTTCAGTCACAACCCAGAGTATGCCTGAATCCCTCAAACCAAAGGCTCTGATACCAACTTCTAACACCCCTAAAATCAAGGATAAAATTTTCATTTTTATTATAGTCAAAACACATAGGTTACTTAATCCAAACATTCAAAAACGTTGCTAAGTAAAATATTTGTCAGAGGTAAATCCCAATATCACATATTGCAGAAAACACATGTGTATGCATTGTGATCAAGTCGGGACCTTCCTTTTTTAATCGGAAATACCTGAAAACATAAGCAAAATTGTAAGCACAAAGCTTACTGATTTCCCTAAATACCACATACCATACTTATCAAACGAGCATTACATAACATAATTAATCATGAGCCATATATATCACCTATAAACATAATCAATAGGAGTGCTATGTGCCAACCATAGTCTTGCCATTATGTCATGAGTCGCCTCATGGTCTTCCTTGCTAGGTCGGGTGCCACAACCCTGGGTCTTAAAGACAAGTTCCAGGAGCCACTTCCTGGTCTGCCATGAAAGTATCACAAAGACAACTAGGCTATAATCTACAGATACTTAACTAACATTTTCCAAAGATCCGACTCTGGTCTTTCATACAAATTGCCAAGGGTCACCCCCGAGTCCTCCTACCATACAGAAACCAAATGGGTCAGCATTGGTGTAAGGTCCCAAATTCTAAGATCCAAATCAGTGATCAAATGATATTCCAATCAATCATAGTGTAGAACGAGTAGATTAAGAATTAACTCAAGCATGCACACATTTATATCATATAAACGTCAAATACACCTTGGAAAACACACACATATATTACCCAAAGACTGACACAAACACCTACTATTTATAGCACCGCCTAGCAGCACACGAGTGTAATGCCACACACGCGTGTACGGCCGCACAGAGGGTGCACGGCCGCACACAGCCACAAACCAAGGGGGAGATCGATAGGTCATAATATAATGGTTTGGTCTAGGCATATATCGTGTAAAGGTCTTGTTTGGGTCTTGGGGTTAGTTATGGTGGTTGTATGCCTTCGACCCATAGAACAACAAGGAGACTCACCTTAAATGCAGAAGCTTACTGAAAGAAATCCTTAGCTACTACCCTGACTACTTCCCAAGCTATCAAACCAAAACATCACCCAATTAGCAATTGGGTTCCAAAATACGATCCATAATCCATACTTGGGGTAAAATGACCATTTACCCCTAACCCAACATAAACTAAAAATGAGGCCGAAGCCTGAAACAAAAAAGTCCCAAAACTATAAGATCCATAAAAACCCACTAATATCCCAATTTTCCAAAGTAGGCCCAAACCCATATGCACCATATCTGAAAAGTCAATAATTTCTGGTCCAATAATAAATCTTCAATGGCCCAAAGGCCCAAGCCCATTGGGCCGACGAACGCAAAATACAAAACCTTGGTCCAACTAGACATACCCCAACAAGAGTCCAAGACTATAAAATTCCTCTAACCAATAATCCAACACACAACGCCGAGAGTTGTTGGATTAGGTGTGTAAGTTCATAACTATTATGAGATGTACTCGACCCGATCAGCATGGTCCATTTGGGTTGCATGGCATCATGCATTTGGATAAACTAAAATGAGAGATATAACACTTACGGTTTATTAATATATTATAAGTTCTAATATATGAACAATATTATTTAATTTATATATATATATATATATATATATATATATATATATATATATATATATACACACACACACTAAGAGAATTAATTTGAATAGTAAAATGTTGTCCTTTTTGGCAAGATTGGCCCATGAGTTTTCATTTTTTTAGTGGTTCTGATTTTTTACGCTAAATTTTGTGCTATTGACACTTTAGTCCCTTAGAAGATAAGAATGGGGCTGATATGTGTCATTCCCATGCCTTCCCCATAGGTTCTACCTTATCTTCCCCCACCTGGTTTCTCATCCAGTCATATTCCGATTTTATACGCTTTCTAGACCTCGTATCCATGGTCTTCTTCTTTCTCCTCATATTCAGTCGTCTCAGCGATTCCTTTGCCGCCTCTAGTAGCCAAGATTTGATCCATCCAACACCGTTGATCCCAAGCAACGCCGCCGACTCATTGCTCTGGTTGAACCTGGTAAACATACGCAACTTGAATCATGTCCTGCCGACAATGTGGATTACATGCCCTGTGACGACCCGGAACCAGTACACAGACCACAAAAATGAAATTTAAAGGATTCACTAAATTCGTACCCACCGTCACCGCCATCTAGTCGGTAACATTTCATATAACTTTTCGATCAGTTTCGTTCTCTCTTCTCTTAATATGTAGTTTGAGTACAATCGACAAATACAACCCGAAAGCATTCTATTTCCAGTACTTCTCTTCTACTTCTTCATCGATTCTCCAACCTTAAACAATCAGCAAGCGGTAGTGGTGGTGGTGGTGTTATTTGGAGTAAGGATTGGAAGTGCTCTCTAGTTAGTAGTGATCAAGAATTAATTTGATATTAATTAACTGATCAAAAGGAGACTAATTAAATATATGGGTTGATTGTGTAAATCACTCATAATTGTATAGTGGGCTAATGCTCCATGGATTATCAAGTTAGGCTAAAACCCATAGGATGCTCCATGAATGCTCCATGGTGTCTTTGAACCCATGGGTCATGGAAATGAAGAGCCATGTTAAATTAGGGTTTACATGGTGTAACCCTAATTATGACACACTATATAAGCAACATGTTGTAGACCAAAATCATGACTAGTGTAAGAAATAAGAGGGCATAGTCGACTCTATGTGTGTGACATTTCTCTCAAGTTTATTCCAAGTGCATTTTGTGTTCTGTGAGATATTTGAGTCATCACACTTGGGGTGCTAGGCTCACAAGGTTCTCAAGGAATACAAAGTACTAAAAGGTTTGTTTTCTTACTATCTCTTATGATTAAAAGTTCCCTTGTATGCTGGATAGGTTAACAACCTTGGAAAAATCAATTTTGCATGTATCATAGATAAAACATAGATCCAAGGTTTCTAGGATTTCATGTACACCATAGGAGTGTTAGAATGCTCAAAACCCAACAGTGGTATCAGAGCCTAGGCTTGTTTTCTTGTTATACTTGAAAAATTGGTTGAAAAATCAAAGTTTGTTGCTGTCTGCTCAGCAGAGTCGCCGAGTCCAAGGCTAAACTCATCCAACTCGCCGAGTTGGTTCATGTACTCAACGAGTTGGACCCCCAGATAGCATATCTTCGACTAGTTTAGCTGGAATTGGACTAGAAATATTACACTAAGCTGTTTTTCAACTTATAAACCTATTTTTGATGTGGTAATGTTCATACTAATCCAATTTCAAAGATAATTGTCAATAGATTCATGTTTTGTATTAGTTTAATGATTAGGCTAATTACATGAAAAAGTTTGATTAAATAATCTTGTTCTTATGAGTTGCTTAGATTAATAGAAAAATTATGTGAAATTGTTGTTATCAATCCAAATTAATCTAAGAGTTGGTTCTAAAATGTGTTCTTGTAACTTGTCCTCAAGTTATACGAAAAGCCACATTTAAGATTCATAAAACTCATAAATATTTCCATAGGTTATGAAGAAAGAAAAGTCATATTCTTTTAATACTTTAAACTCTTCCATAACTTGTCCTCAAGTTATGGAACTTGAAGAGTTTTTGGATTAAAACTACTTTAAACACATAAGTTATGGAATTTAATTGTTTTGAATAGTTTCAAAATGTAACATTCAAAAATACGACCCAAAAATTTTTGTTTTAATAATAATAAGAATCATATACTGAATGTCATATCGTAAAACCATACGCCCAATATCTCAAATCATAATAAAACGTCGTGAAACAACTGTATCAAATCAAACTATGAATCAAAACAAACTCCCAGGACAAAGACTGAAGCTATGGTGTGTGCGATGCCATCATCCCGAACTCTTCCCTTTACTTGCAGAAGTACCTGAAACCAAAACTGAAACTGTAACCACAAAGCTTAGTGAGCTCCCCCAAACTACCACATACCATACAATACATATAAATCACATACTGGGCCTTGCCCACTGCATCGAACCGAAGTCCGAAAACTGCATCGGACCGTAGTCCGGAACTGACTGGGACCTTGTCCCCTACACCGGATCGGTGTCCAGAACTAGCTGCATCGAACCGAAGTCCAGAATTGATTGCATCGGATCGAAGTCCATAACTAATTGTATCGGACCAAAGTCCGAAACTGACTGATCATAGCATAGCATAACAACATATCAACTAGCATAACACATATCATCTAGCATAAACACATAGACTGCGTACTACATCAGGCCATAGCCCGGAACACACAACACATAAGTCCTGTCTGAGCCACGAAGGCATCAAACACACTATCTACTACATCGGACCGAAGTCCGGAAACTACTGCTAGCTAATCGGGTCAGCATTGTGGTCGTAAACCCGTTCCTACTGGAAGGAAACTCACCTCGTAATCTGGCTGCTAAATGAACTGCTCGGGAAACTGTCTGCTGCTGCTCCGGTATCTCCCAGGTGTAACATCCCAAATTTTACAAGAAAATTTTTCGTTTTAATAAGTAATCCGATTACATATTCCATACATTTTCAAAACATTTGTTTCACAAATCACATTCATTACATCATTGTTGTATTTTTATGAAATCATCAGAGAGTCCCCAAAACGTCCAAAAGAGAGATAGAGTACACGCCATGCCATCACACCTTGCCTTTGCCCTTAGGCTCCGAAGTACCTGCAACAATCAACAACATGTAAGCGAAACGCTTAGTGAGTTTCCCAGAGCATACCACACACAATGACATATCCTGCTAGCTATAAGGCTACACACATCACACATAAATCATGCATACATCAAACCTATAATAGTGCCATCGGCTACCCTACATGGTCTTTACCTAGGACTGCCATGGGCTACCCCACATGGTCTTACATCCAGTGCCATGGGCTACCCCACATGGTCTTCACCTAGGACTGCCATGGGCTACTCCACATGGTCTTACATCCAATGCCACGGGTTCCCCCCGGGGCCTTCATACAACATTAAATCACATAGCAAAGCAAACACAGAGTATCTATCATATCTACTGTAATCACATAATAGGCCAGCCTTGGTGCCTTAGACCCATAGGTATGGTGATAAGACTCACCTGACAAGAATGCCGAAACAATACTTTTTCGAATGGATATGCCCCACGAACTGCTCCAACTCAACTACCTAAAAGTGTCATATAATACCCAGTCATTAACTTTAAAGTCCGCCTTGGTCCACTTCAGTTAGGATCAAGTCAACAGTCCATGTTGACCCTAACTCGTTGCGTGAAACTAGTGACTCGCCGAGTTTCACAGAATAACATCTACTCACCGAGTCATCAAGGTGACTCGCCGAGTTCATATGGTCTTGACTGAAGGTCCACTTGTCGTGTTTCCTTGCTTGCCACTCTACACGTTTGTGACTATCGAATCAATTGGGGAGTCTTACCTGACTCGCTGAGTTGTTCCTTCAAATCGTCGAGTTCTAGGCAATCTTCATCCGGCTCGCTGAGTTGTTCATCCAACTCGTCGAGTTCATAGCAATGTTCATCGGGCTCGCCGAGTTGTTTATCCAACTCGCTGAGTCCAAGCCTGTCTTCATATGACTCACCGAGTCTCTCCCTGAGACTTGCCGAGTCCCATAAGATCTCGAGCCATACAGACTCCTTGGAGCTATCCAATTCTTCCAAATTACAAATCTAGGCTCCTGAGGCATGCTTTTTACGTAAAGTTGAAAACTTTACGTGCATGCAAGGCTTTAAGTCCTTAAAATAGCAAATCTAAGCTTGGGATTGAGTCATACACTTGAGGGGAGGCTCATTCTAGGATAAATGGATAACTTTATACATATCAAGGTCAAAAGGAGTCCAGATCTGAAGCTATAACTCCAGATCTTGACTTAAACACAAAAGCCATTTCCTAGAATCCATGCACAAAAGGTTTTTGGAAGGAAATGAACCATGGAACAACTTAATACCTTCAGAAAGTGTTCCACAAAGGTAGATCTTGAATCCCCACGAGTCCTTTGCTTCTTCTAACTTGTTTCCTCAAGTGCTCCCTTCACTAAATCCTTCCTTCAAGCTTAAATCACCAAGAACACACTCACACTCGAATCAGGGGTCTTTGGGAGGAAAAGAACTTTAAAGGGGAGGCTAAAGGTGGCTTATGACCCTTTAAATAGGGTGCAAGGCCCCGAAGTTTAGGGTTTCATCTGCCAGTATCGACTTGTCGAGTCCCATAGCGAACTCGGCGAGTAGATCATTAAACATCACTGGCAAGCCCGCTACTACTCGACGAGTAGGGAGGCCAACTCGCTGAGTAGGTACTAAAAAGACAACCCAAAATATTATTATTAATACTTGAGGATCAGGGCGTTACAACTCGCCCCCACTTGAATTAGGCTTCGTCCTCAAAGCCTGTCGGCTCAAATAACTCCGGGTAGAAATCTCGCATTTCATCTTCCGATTCCCAAGTCCATTCGGAACGCCTTTGGTGCTGCCATTGAACCTTAACCAATTTCACTTCTTTATTCCGGAGCTTCTTTGTCTTCCTATCCAAAATCGCAACTGGTATTTCGACGTAATTCAGGCTCCCATCCAACTAAATGTTGTCCAAGGGTATGACTGAGGATTCGTCGGCGACACACTTACGAAGCTGAGATACATGGAAGGTGTTATGAATCCGACTAAGCTCCTCTGGAAGCTCTAATCGATATGCCACCTTTCCCACCCAAGTGATGATCCTGAATGTTCCTTTGAACCAGGGGCCCAATTTTCCCTTCTTGCATAACCGAATAATCCCTTTCCAGGGCGACACCTTTAACAAAACAGAATCCCCTTCCTGAAATATGAGGTCTGACCGCCGTCGATCTGCATAACTTTTCTGACGACTCTGGGCGACCCGCAACCGGTCGCGTACTTGCTGAATCAATCTGGTGGTCCCGAGTACCATCTCCGTGCTCCCCAAAACTCAATGCCCAACCTCATCCCAGCACACTGGGGTCCTGCACCTCCGCCCATATAACATCTCAAATGGTGCTCGGTCAATACTGGCATGATAGCTATTATTATATGAAAACTCTGCCAGTGGAAGATACGCATCCCAACTTCCTCCAAAATCCAGCACGCATGCCCACAACATGTCTTCCAGTGTCTAGATCGTCCTCTCACTCTGGTCGTTGATCTGGGGGTCATACACCGTACTAAAATACAACTGGATACCCAGTTCCACATGGAACTTCTTCCAAAACCTGGATGTAAACCGAACATCCCTATCTAAAACCACTGATACCGGTACTCCGTGCCTTGCCACCACCTCTCGAACATAAATGTTCGCCAAATTTTCCGCAGATATACTTTCAGAGATCGGGATGAAGTGGGCACTCTTCGTCAGTCTATCCACGATTACCCATATGGCATCTACTCCCCTCGCTGTCTGAGGTAACTTCATGATGAAATCCATAGTGATCTCTTCTTACTTTCACATGGGAATAGGTAATGGCTGAACCTTGCCATGAGGTCGTTGGTGCTCGGCCTTGACCTTCTTGCAGGTCAAACACCGCTCCAGATACCCGATGATTTCTCGCTTCATGCAAGGCCACCAATAGCCCCGCCTCAAATCCCTATACATTTTTGTTGCACCCGGATGTATAGAAAACATGGACTTATGCGCCTCCTCCAACAGTCTCTGCCTCACTCCCCCCCAAGATCGGTACCCACACTCGGCTACACTGTGTCAATAAGCCGCGACCATCCTTAAAAAACAAAGGATACTGCCCCCGAATCCTTTCCATTTTCAAGTTCTCTTTCTTCACCCCTTCGATCTGAGCCCCTCAAATCATGTCTATCAAGGAGGGACTTACTATGACCCTCATACAAATGCTCCTGATTGGCGACCCTATCGCCTTGCGACTCAATGCATCGGACACCACATTGGCCTTCCCTGGATGATATAGTATCTCGCAGTCGTAGTCCTTTAGCACGTCTAACCATCTCCTATTTCGCATATTTAGGTTCTGCTAGTCCATCAAATACTTTAAACTCTTGTGATCGGTATAAAAAATGAATTTCACCCCATACAAGTAATGCCTCCAAATTTTGAGGGCAAACACCACTGCCCCCAATTCCAGATCATGAGTGGGGTAATTAGCCTCGTGAGGCTTCAACTGTCTCGAGACATAAGCGATCACGTGCCCCCTCTACATCAGCACTTCACCCAACCCTAAAATAGATGCATTACAATACACTACTAAGTCATCCAATCCCTTAGGCAAAACTAGAATTGGAGCCTCACATAATCTCCGCCTCAAGGTCTCAAAAGCCCTCTGCTAGTCTTCACCCCATCGGAAAGTCGCATTCTTCCTGCTTAAACGGTTCAATGGCACGGTAGTCTTGGAGAAATCCTGAATAAATCTCCGATAATAACCCGCTAAGCCCAAAAAGCTACGAATCTCAAAGGCATTCCTCAGTATTTCCCATTGCATCACCGCCTCTACCTTTGCTGCGTCAACCGAAAAATTCCCTCCCAATTGATGACATGACCCAAAAACTGCACTTCCCTCAACCAGAATTCACATTTAGAGAACTTCGCATACAATTTCTCCGATCTCAAGGTCTCTAGTACCTCTCTCAGATGTTGCTCGTGTTGTTCCTTGGTCTTAGAATAGACCAGGATGTCGTCAATAAAAACAATCACCGACCGATCTAGCATCAGCCTGCACACCCGGTTCATGAGGTTCATGCACGCGGCCGGAGCATTAATGAGCCCAAATGGCATTACCATGAACTCGTAATGCCCATAACGAGTCCTGAAAGTTGTCTTCGGTACGTTCTCATCCCGAATCCTCATCTGATGATACCCTGACCGAAGATCACTCTTTGAGTACCATGATTCTCCCTGGACCTGGTCAAATAAATCATCAATCCAAGGCAATGGATAGCAATTCTTCACTATCAACTTATTCAGCTCCCTATAATCGATGCACATCTTGTGTGACTCATCCTTCTTTTTCAAGAAAAGGATGAGAGCTCCCCACGGAGAACTACTTGGACGGATGAACCCTCGGTTCAGTAGCTCTTGTAGTTGGGCAGATAATTCCTGCATCTCGGGTGGCGCCAATAGATATGGTGCCTTTGCTATCGGGGTGGCGCCTGGCACCAGGTTAATACGAAACTCCACTCGTGTATCTGAATCATAGGCCAAAAACCCCATGCAGCCCTACTGCAAAAACCTCCTCGCCCTTGCAGCTGAACAAAGGGTAGGCCCCTGCATGGTCCTCTCGCTGTGAATAACCAGTTCTCCCCCCCTTGGGGTACATACTCGGACTAACTGCCTCTCACAATTGATCATGTCCCCATTGGCTCCCATCCAGTCCATCCCAATAATCACTTTAAATCCTCGCAAGGGTATGGGAACCAAATGAACGCGAAACCTTTCGTCGTACACATTCAGGACACTCACGGTGCGATCATCTGCAATCTCCACCCCGATTGGG